GTCACACAGTAAATTATTAACTTATCGCGTAAAACATCCAAATTCAAATTCTCACAATTTTTCATGAATCATATGCATAATTCTTTACCCGTCACCCATTCTTTTCATACTATTGCGAACTAGACCCGTCTGTAATGCATTATAGCTGTAAAGTCTTAATATGCTTGGCACCTTACTTCAACATATCAATGAACCATATTATGACTTTATAGAATTGTGCTTGAAAACAATTACGGTAACAACAACAACAAACGTTATTACGTATTGTCGTAATAATTAGACGACTGGATAGCAGAGGCGATTAAGACATCAGCTTAACGCTTTGGAGAACCCAGGATCAAATCCGAGCTGCAGTCCCAGGAAATTTTCGTGAGCAAATATCTCAGATATGTCGGATATGTCTTATCATCCGGCCACCTCCATTGCAGGCATGGCCTAACCCACAATGATTATGGAAAAGAAGTTCTTAATAGCGCCCAGAGTGGAAAGACTCAAGAACAGGCCGGATGGCCGAGCGGTCAAGGTGGCAGTCTGTCGGTCTGGGGGACCCGGGCTCAAATCCGAGCGGGTCGAAAANGAGAAAGATGTTTCCGGTGGGATTTTGAAGAAAGCTCGAAGATTTGAGAAGTGCATTTATAAATAAATGGTTTCTGGTTTAAGACACCAGTGTGACTCGTTGAAATGGGAAATACAGGTGCAGAAAGATTACCAGCCAAAGCAGAAATTTCTGATCCACTTCGTACCACGTTTGGGCTCGAGCTCGGGCGGCACACCTGAGAACGTGGACCCGGGAGGCATTGTCTCGAGGCAATGCGGTCCCGGGAGGAGATCTCAGGGAGATGCTGGCCCAGGTTGGCACGTCTCGGTTCAGAGTGCGATCATTGCACTTGGATTTCTAAGAATGGGGTAACGCGATATATACAAACCCCACTCATTGCACTTGGATTTCCAAGGATGGGGTAACGCGATATGTACAAACCCCACTCATTGTAGTTGGATTGGGTTGACAGAGCTCCACCCAATCCAACTGCAATGAGTGGGGTTTGTATGTATCGCGTTACCCCATCCTTAGAAATCCAAAATTAGGAAAACTTTCCACATCGGTATTTTCCGAATACTTAGCATTTCTTAATGCCCAGTGGTTTGCATTATTTACTCGTTACCAGGGGTGCCACTCGCGACATATAAAAAACTTGGGTCTGGATGGAAAAAACCCAGATTATTTACCCAGAAAGATTCATGATTTAAAATATAATTATAAATACTTTATCGTAGTAGTTTTCTGCCTGGAATTTTTATACGAAAGAAGTGGCCTACTTCTCTGTTATTCTGAAAGAGAAATAAGGCAAAGTATTTAATTTTTTTCTTCTTTACCATGTGACCGTTTATTTAGCCTAGCATTTTAGTCTAATGTGGCTGTTTTCTGTTTTATCTAGTGGTCAACTGCTTGTGATTTTTTTACTTATAGTAAACAGTGTAAAACTCACAAGAGTGGAAAAGCATTGATATGAGAATTTGAGAATTGGTGTCCCTTGCCACTCTATTTGGTTACATCCCTGAATATTATTGAATAAAACTTTAATATTCCTTTGTTTTTTGAAAATATTTTCAAAGCTTCACTTCATTTTTAGTTTGTTATTTCAGAATTATCATTTTGTTTATTATCAAGCCTTTTAAAATGAAATGTGGTTCACAGCAACTGCTTTGTACTGTTCCTTTGTTTTAAAACTGCCTTAAGTGTTAAGTGGGTCTGACTATATCTTCACTTATAAAGTTTCAATAATGATTTATTTATTTTTTTCTATATTTAATACACTAATGACCTGTATGAATGTTATCTGTGGTATAATTTATGAAAAATAGGTAAATCATTTATTTAATGTCAAAAGTTTGTAATGGTCATTCATAAATCTACAGTTTAGCAAGATATTTGAATATAGCAGTGCAATGGATACACACACACACTTGTGCACCTGATGCATTGTTAGCATGCTGGATTGCTGAATCCAATGACAAGTATTGCAATTCAGTTCAGTTCAAATCATTTTGTTTGTATTTCTGCATGTTTATTCTATGTAGAAATAGATAGAAATGAAATGCTACAAACTGATGACTTAAACAATTATCCAATCACATTTGACTTTAAGGGAAAGCTAAGTTGACTTTCTACCACCTTTCAATCTGTTAAAATAAATATTTTACAGGCTATTTATTAATTTTAATTAATGTAAAAATTTAGCATTTTTAATTTCAGAAATTTATTAGCTTCTATTAATTAAAAATTAATTAATTTGTATTTTTGGATAATTAATTCATGATGAAAAACAATTACTTGTACTAACTTAAGATCTGACTGATATTTTAAACTGCAGTAATACTTTAATTATTTAACAGTTTCATCTGCTTATACAGTTTATTCATAAAAGTATCTATTGTATTCTGCACATATAAGAGCAAGCTCATATAAGTGGGGTAAAATTGGCACTGTATTCTACAATGTATACAAATTATAGTAATACTTTGCAGAATACAATGCAAATAAGAAAATAATAAGTTTTTTATAGCACAAGCATTTGTTTTATTTTTAATAATGATTATTACAGAGATATTACTGAATAGTTACTGTATCAATACATTTATATTGACATAGCAGTGCAGTGCTCTTATAAGCCAAAACAAGCTGGCACACAAAAGAGCATGTCTTATAAGCAAAGGAGGACATATTTCTAAAATGAAAACAATCTATTTTTACATATAACAGTTTGCTCTTACTAGTATTTGCATGTAAATTCAATATAAATAAATAAATAAGTTCAGAAAGTTAAAAAAAACTCAAACATTTTAGTCCAATCTGTTTGTATATCAGAACATACAAGTTATATTTAGTAATACATTAATTATCTTATTTTTATACACAATTTTTAATTTTGCATGACTAATTTTACATTTATTGATTTTAATTCTTTAAATACAATTCTTAAAATTAAGATAAAAGATTAAAATTATTAACTTTGTATCCAGGTAAATGGACTAAGCATAAATTCTAAAATACAAACATTAAAAAGATAAAGTTGTTTATATAATATTATAAAAGTAATAAATTATAAAATAACATTATCATTTGACATTAAAAGTACCTGTGCACAATTTAACATTTTATGCTTATCTACACCCAGCAGTAGTATTACAAGTTATAAGCTTGTGAGTTTGAAAGTTATAAATTATTAAAATGGTGAATGTATCTGTACATATACTTATGAAATCATATGTATTATCTTAAAAGATAATTTTATAACCTTTCCATTTACATAACTGTATATAAAGTTAATAATTTTAACCTATGTGTCTAAAGAATTGAAATCAATAATTGTAAAATTAGTTATGCAAATTAAAAATTGTATATAAAGATAAGGTAATTAATCTATTACTAAATATTGTATGTTCTGATATACAAATAGATCAGACTGATGAGGAACTGTACTTGAAATTCATATTTGACAGAAAGATGAGTAATAAAATGCTCCCGAAACAGTAACCATCGTCTTAGTCCTCATATGATTAGTTCCAAACAACAAACTCAGAATTAGTAACTAAAGCTATTTTATTATAGAAAACATTAAGTCAGGAACATTAAGCTAATATTATAATTACTTTTTAAGTCTTCAGATTTACATAAAATTATGATATGAATGATTGATTACTTGTAAAGTGGATTTTATTTAACTACTTTAAAAGTATTACCACCCTCTACCTCTTCAACATATAAAGATCTTTGGGTCATAATTTTTATTGAAGTTATGATTAACAACACACAAAAAAAAAATATTTATCTCAAAAAAAAAGAAAAAAAAATTAAAAAAAAGATAGCTTTTATATTTTTATCACAGACCTAGACTTGGGGGTTGGGAAAATATCAATTTCTTAAAAGTATTTTAATAATATATACACATTTAAAAAGTTAGAACTCAATTAGCTTATTGTATCAAAAGTTATAAAAAATTGGAAAATTTTTCATAACAAATACATTTATTCTTTAACAAACTAAAAATTCATGAGTGTAAAAAAAATTTTATAATGGAGCTTTGATTATAAAATTTTTTACACTCATAAATTTTTAATTTGAGATGTATCCCCAACCTCTTAATATCTCTTGAACTAATAGTCTGATTTTCCTGAAAATTTCTAGAAACATTTTTCCCTAATACATACATCTCCCTACAAAATTTCAGAAATTTTCAACAAGACAGAAATTATTAAGCTTTCTATCTGTTAAGTAACAGCTGGAAAAGTAATATCTATGACATACTATAACATTTTGAAGCTAATAATCTATGATGGTTGATGAGACTATGTCTCATCTCTAAAATCATGCTGCTGTCAATGGCTGCACACCTTAGAAGTATGAAGGAGTACATGCCAGAAGTTTCAATTTGGCACAGAGTATTTGGTGCCAAAATCATGTGCACATAAAATAAACCAAATTGTAGATAGTCAGGGGACTGAGAGCCAGGTCAAAATAAAATACAAAATGCTGAGACTTTCTACAAACAGACATAAGTGCGAGATTTGCATTGCTTGTGCTCTCTGAGACAGTCTCATCCCAAGAATAGCTTTGCCTTTTTACTTGTTTATATTGAAAATATGTTATTTTAGATGTATTCATAATTAAATTCTGTAAGTTATTTTTTAACCAAATAAATCTTGAATCAACATGGCATTCAAAAAATTAATAATCTAGTTAATAATTCATAAATATCATTGTCAATGATCATCCTTAGTTAAGTGAATATAATCTTTATAACTCTTAGGTTAAATTTAAAGTTTAAAAACATTTAAAATAAAGGAAAGTAGTTTTTGGTCTTGAAAACATTTACTATTGTTTTCTAAGGATATAATTGTTTTTAAACTTTATGATTATGTATAGATTAATTGAATATCTGATGTCAATTTGATATCAATGTAATATATTTCTATTTTAAATTCTAACTTTTATTATGCAGATGTCAGATCAGGATATTTTAGACTTAACTGTTAAGAGTGTGTCCGAATCAGAAGAGGATGGAGAAATTGAAAAGGACGAGCCTGAAAAATACAAAATAACAAATTCACCTATAGAAGATGAGGAAAGGTAATTTAATAAAAAATAAAAATAAGTAAAAAAATATTGAAAATGACAACTTTTACAACATAGATGATAGATGATAGTCTAAATGGTGTAATTTTTGTAAGGTATTATGTGTGCAAATTCATTTATGTATTAACTATGTACTAGTAGTGAATATTTCTATTTGTAGTTAAATTTTAATTTAAAAAATATTGGTTATTCAATAGCTACTTTGAGTTTGTATTGTGGTGTTTTGCAGTGGCATCTTGGAAAAAGGGTTGTATTCTCTGTTAACATGTGGAATTTATGCTATTATGAAGGGTTGTCAGTAAAGAACAGTAAAATTAGATTACATGGTTTTTTTTCTTTTGAATGACGTAACAAGTTTTATGGAATATTGAGTTATCAAGAGTTGAGTTTCCAGGAATCTACTGCAAAATAAAATTCTATATATAACAAATACTCTGTAAAAAATAAAGGATTTTAAAATGGAAACAAGGAATTGTCCTTATATAATGAAATGCTATTTTTATACTTACAACTACCATTTCACTCTATTGTATTGCTTTGTAACACTGTTGCATATACTCATCTGCAAAATTATATAACACATATCCTTGATCAATGCTCCTAATTGTACTTAGGAATAATACACACACTAAACATTACATTACAGTCGACCCCGCTATAACACGGTAAATATGTTCTGGTTTTTATGAATCCATTTTCTACGAGTCCAGCCATCACAACTCCGCACATATGCAGTTTATGGACTATGGCTGTTTGAAAGGTTTCTTCCATAAAATTAATCAATTCTAGACTAATTTGACTCAACATTTCCAAAATACATATAATTTTTTGGGAATAATCCATATAAACAATGCTATAAACAAAAAATTGTAGAATTACTTACCGAGTGTGCATTGTTTGACTACGCCATTGCTTAAGCTTATTTTTGNTTTTTGTTTGTTATTTGGAAAATTATTTCATATTCAGATTAACTAAAATCTAGGTAATTTCTGATTGATCTGATTGAAATGAATAATTAAAAACAAAAACAAACAAATTGACCTTTCTTTTGAATATTAATTGATTCAAGATTATGAAGGTTTCAAGAGGATTCAAGAGGATTGGAATATTCAAAATTTATATTTCTGAATATTCTAATTGGGCTGCAATTTGAAAAAATTGTAATAAATTCCCACTGTTGTCTGTCTGCTGTCTGTTCTTCCTTAATCTTGAGAACGGTGTTAGATAGACAAAAGTGAGATATATTCATGATTATATGATATACGATTACACAGTCATGTGATTTCAATTCAAAAATTTTCCCCAGAATGGAGTTACATAGATGACTGGCATTACAGTTATTCTTGTCAGGAAAAGTATGATGTACAGGAGCAAGATACTACTAATTTGAGATCAAGATCATATATTTAAATTAAGTAAATTATGTTACATTTATATAACTTATGTGAATGTTATTTCTAGTGATAGTTCAAGAAATGATGAAATAGGTGATGATTCTCTGGATATAAAACCACCCCAGGCCACTTTTGCAACTCATAAAGACCGTGGCGAAAAAAGAGAAAGCCGGAAAAAAGACAGACATTCACGCAAACATGAATGTGAGTATCCATCATCTCTACAAGTAATAGTTATATCTAAATGTACTTTTCCAATTATTAACAGGAAATTTATTTTTCTTTAAGTATTATGTTAATAATTTTGAATACATTCACTTAAATTGAATCACAGCTGAAAAATATAATTAGCCTATTTAGAACTGTGTGATATTTTATTTTTTAATTTTTCAATTTAAATTAAAGAGCACACAATATTAACTAAAGCTAGGATATCTAGACACTAAAAAACAAATAAGTAGTTATAAAAATCATATAAGGGAAAATCAATCATATTAAGTTGTAATTTTTATAACTATTGATATGATCTTTATTGTGTAGATGTTCTAGCTCTAGTATATTTAACATTAATAAATATATTCATTACATTTATGATTACATTCTTAAAAATAAATTTTTTACTTTATATTTAATATAAAATAATTTGTAAAAAATGCCAAATGACTGCCATATTAATCGGGCTATTAATATAGCATATTATTGCTCAATATTAATAGCCAAATTAATTATGGCAATCATTTGGCTTAGTATCAATACGTTAGGTTTCAGGAAACTGATATTTATATAAAATAAAAGAAAAATAAAAACAAAATAAAGGCAATTAAATACAGAACTTTAGAAAAGTTTGAGAAATATATCTTATTTTAAATAAATATTTTAATACATTATCAATTAATCATTTGTTTGATTTGGCTTTTCATCTTTACAAAAGGGTACAAAAAAAAAACTTTAAAAACAACATAACTACATATATTATGTTAATTATCATCATTCAGGTACTATTATATATAAGTTGAAATTTAAAAACTATTGTAACATATTTATAATTAAATATTAAATAACAAAAATAATTATACAGTTTAAATAATGTTACAGAACTTAAATTATGGTCATATAAAGAATTAATATTAAAATTAATTAGCAAAAAATTATTTTTTTAAATGTTCAGTATATTCACAAGATACAAACAAATGATTTTTTTTAGCATTTTAAAAATAAAGATTATAAAAGGAAAAGGATTACAAAAAGAACAAGGTGTAATGTTAATTGTACAACCATTTAAAATAAACATTATATTTGTTAACTTTAATTTGTTTTAAACCAACCTCCTGAGATCAGACTCTGGCAGTTCTAGAATCTTGAACCAATAACAAAAAATAGCCATAAACTTACAGCCAATGGCGGTCTACCCAATTCAGATCTCAAAACAGGTCCAGGTACTGAATGATTAAGATGAAAAATTAGTCTAATGAATCTCAGTTGTCTTCTCCTGTTCATCAGTAAGACATGGACCCCAAATAGGAAGCATAAAAATGAAACTTGATCAAATCAAGGAATTGAACAATCAAAAATATGACTTAACAGAAGATTCATCTAATCATTAGTTTTATTACATTAGCAAGTTTAACTTCAAATTTCATAATTACTTTGCCTAGATGTAAAGAAAACAAGCCCCGTGGCATAAAATAAATACACAAATATTTATAGGACAATACCACTTTCAATTCAGAATGGAATAAATAGAATTTATCAGCATTTCCCAGCTTATTTCCTTTCCGAAAAATCATTTTCTTAGATTTAGTCTCATTAATATGTAATTTATTAGTCCTACAATAATCCTGTAAAAGGTTAAGCTTTTGCTGAAGACTAATAGGAGTATAAGAAGGTACTGCAATATCATCAGCAAACAAAAGACAAATCAGTGCAATCAATGGTGATAGGTATAACGCCATTGAATGTGAAAGAAATCTAGAAGATCGTTGATAAATAGATTAAAAAGAATGAGGCTAAGTGGTTTGCATTGAGGAAGACCTTTATTAGCAATTACTGATTCTGAAGTACAATGATTAACTTCTATTTGATAAGCAGTATTAGCAAATAATTGTCTTAGAAGATTAATAAAAGAAGAAGAGATCTCTATCTGAGAAAAAACTCTAAGAAAATATATATTCCAAGAAAAATTTTTTAAATTAAAAGAATCTTCTGAGCAGGAAGCATCAGATAAATTTCATAATTTTCTTCCACTTGACAATCTGTCAGCTTCCCTGTAATAAAATAGATTTGATCTTCATCAATCTATTATTCATTAAATTGAAAGCGAAGTTGTCACCGTCAATTATTAAACAGTCAGTTCTCATGAACACAGATTTATTTTTTTCCTTAGCCTTTCTGTAAAAAGGGATGAGTCTTCCTCTGAATTCTTGATCTCCAATTGTAAATTGTTAAAAATTCTGATTTTGGAATACTTGTCCTTCATTTGAATGTTATACAAATTCCTGTAAATTAATTTTTATCAGAAGCAAGATCAAGCTCTACTACCACAAGATTATTTTTTGAAATTTTATTAAAAGTTTTCACAGAAATATTATCACCATTTGGTCTTTTAATAGAAGACAGAATATTGGAAGCTAAACTCAAAATTTCTGTTGAATTACCTTGCAATCTAGCAATAATAATAATTATTTTGCTTACTTTCATTGAATGAAGAATCCAATAAGTACAAAAATAAGAAATCTGAGTACTTGAAAGCACAGATGAATTAGTTAGTTCCTTCTACATTACTTCTCTACATTAGTGAGACAATAATCAAAGTCTATGCAAAATAGCCAGCCATTCAAATTTGGTAGATAAATCCTTGAGTTTCGTCAAGATGGCATCAAATCACTCTTCTAAGAAAGAAACCTAATTCTGAGATACAGTAGTAGATGAACCCAATAACGGGAAAAAAGATTCCAACTGCTGAGATTTTAGAACTGGTTTGCTAGGCAACCTTTGACGTTTTCTAATTGTGGATATGGACGACTTTAAAGGAGGGGGAAATATGGGACATTGGACCAGGATTAGATTTGATGCCTCCAATTAATAACAACACACACACATTAACAAATGAAATATTGAAAAAATTAATAAAACTGAACATCAAAAAATAAACATCAAAAAATTGAACAAATCATATTCAAACTGTAAAAGTCATTATTAGAAAGTTCATGAAAAGTCACCAGCACTAGCAGACTTTACAAAGCGCCCCCATATTTTGGTACATTATTTCATTATCATATCATGTATTTTAATGAAATTTCATGAGAAATCATTTTTTTTAATGTAAAAATATTATTGTTTTAAAATTGAAGAAAAATATTTATATTATTGTATTAAAGATAATAAATTACACAAGATGATGGTATAACTCCAACAATAAATATTACAATATTTCATGTTAAATATAGTTAATTTATTTTAGAGTTAATAAAAACAGAAGGAACACTAGAATAAAATAAAAGTGTCATTTTACTTTTTACATCTCGAGACCATGACAAAGTCTTATTGTTTTGTCTCCAGAGGGAATTTTTTAATGGGTTTTGCATATTGTGGCAAATGAGAGACTCAAGATAAAATCTTTTGGCAGAGTCAACCTTTATGTTCCTGAACTGTAAAAGTGGACAAAATGAAAAGATGCTTTTGGAACTATCACCCTGAACTTTTTATTAATATTAATAATTTACTAGTATTTGACGTGAAATATAAATGAACTATATTTAACATAAAATATTGTGAAATTCATTTCTAATTTAACAATTTATCATTATAAAAATATTACTATATATGTTTTAACAATAAATGTATGAGTTGTTAATTTGCATTAAAGAATTTATTCTCATATATAAAATATTTTTAGTCAAAAAAGGAATAAGCTTTGTAACATATTTTACAGTTTTTCACTTCTGAAATGAATAATTAATTTGAATTTTAGCACGGCGTAAAGAAAGGCGTAGAAGCCGAGAAAGAGGTATGAGAATGGAAGAACGTGGGATGCGTTCAGAGAGTCGAAGAAGTCGAGATCATGAATCGCGACGACACCGGCATCGTGAAGAATCTCGCAGAGAAAAAGAAGTTAAGGAAAATAAAGATGTTAAAGAAACAAGAGAAATTGTTAGAGAGATTAAAGATGTTCGTGATAGATTATCTCAGAGGAATAGAGAAAAAGTAGTAGTTGAAAGAGAAAAAGAAAGAGATGAGAGAGAACAGTAAATATTTAAAATCTGTTTTTTTTTTTTTTAATTTATTTTATATTATAATNTTTACATTATAATAATAAAAATAATAATAATAATAATAATATATTTACAGGTATCTCTCATATAACACTAAAGTTACATTCCAAAAAAGTGCTGTGTTATGTGAATCCGTGCTATATGAACGAAGGACTAATGCAAAATCTGGGGTTAGGTTCCAGAAGTTAGCAAAAGTATACTATTCTTTTTTGTTGCTAAGAGAAATATGTTTATTAAAGCAATTGATAATTTATTTTCAATAAATAATTAATTAACAATTGCAATTAAATGTTCTGAATTACACATTAATATTAATTTCAGTTAAACAAGGCTATTTTCTTTTTACAAAGTATTGCCATCATCTCAGCTTTTTTGTTGATCTTTATCAGAAGTATTGGCAACATTTTCATTTTTTTTATTCTTATCAAAATTTTTATAGATGACTAAATAAAAATATGTTATTAATTGAAAATTTGTTCTAGTGGGTTGCATTTGTTCAGTCTAGTATTGAGCAACTTTTTCAGATTCACAATTTGTATTTGTGTACTGAGATACCACTGTATTTTGTTTGTTCTATGAATGATTGCTTACCTACAGTTTAAAAAAAGTTTAATGGCACATATCTAAAAATGTTTAAATAAACTTTACTAAATACAAAGATTAATCTATAAAAAGAAAACACAGTGACAGTCTTAAGGGCTAAAGTCTTAAAGCAATGACAACGATACCTGGTTGATAGGAAAGTTAGTGCAATTTTTTCTTCCTTATCCTATCAGTTTCATTAAAGTAAACCTGATGAAAAAAGCAAAAAATAATTTTAAAATTTCAATATTCTAAAATCTGTGGACAAATTTAAGACAACATATGTGCTTAAATGAATAAACTTCTTTATTCAACACTAGTTGCAAGTACCCACTTTGCTGGGTTTTTTTTTTGTTCATACATTTATATGTAATATAGTTTTTTTTTTTACATAAAAGACTGTTTATCTTCCTCTACATAATCTTTCTCTGATTTGATGTGTTTCCCTATAATTTTCAAGTTGCTCTTCTGTTTGATTATTTCTGTTTCGATATGATTCGAGACCGCAAAAATTTTTCTTACACGTTGGCATTGTTTTTTATATTTTTACTTTTTACACTTCACTATTCACTTTTCACTTTCTACCTTTTTCTATTATTCATACACTTTTATTAATGAAAAATCAACTGAAGCATGTGCGTGACACATCTTCAGAAGCCATCCCCATAACGGTCCTGGACTATTCCAAAACATTTTCGACTATTCAAAAACATTTAAGATTAAGATTACATTATAGCCAATCTTACCAATTTTTACAGAATGCAAGAATTAGGTCTGCTGTTTCAAGACTAAGTAGAGAATTTTTACATGGGTCTAAAAATATGTTTGATTTCTTGCGAAAATGCAAAAAAAACGCATCTGCGCCTGTAAATCTTGCACGCTGCTTTCTCTTAACACTTCCATTGTTACACATTTTTGAAGTCAACCACTTTCAGCCCCCATATCTCTCACACCCTTGTAGCTATAGAGACACAACCATCATAGTGCACAATGGGAGACTTGGGGCTATTACCACACACAAGCACCATTCGTGTGCAATGTGTAGTTTTGGCTGCAGAGTGAAATATAGGCACACACACGTCCATTTTTATATATATAGATATAGATATTTACATTTAAATTATGAAATTTTGTACAGAGGATTTACGTAACTGTTGTACGAGGGATACCTGTATATATGTAAAGTGTTTGAAAAATATATATTTTTCAAACATATTTATATATTATTGTGTTTCACTCTACTGAAATAGGGAAAGACTCCAAAGAGAGTGGAGGAAAGAACGTCTCATGTATGTTGAACAACCAAGGCGCACGAGAGAAGTGCGCAGAGTTGAACCAGAAAAGGGTTTTTTACGAAAAGAAGGTAAACTTAATTTAAAAATGCATTCAATTTTATCATTGTTTATTTTTTATTTAGAGAAAGTGAATTTTTTTTTATTTCTATTTTTATGAGATAATAAATACTATGGTTATAGTTTTTTCCTTTAAATAAAGTTATTAAGACTGTAATTTTTGACTGTCTTAATAACTTTTTGGTATTTAGATATATATGCATTCCTTAGGGGTTATATTTTAAAGTGTAATCCTGTAAGGCTTGTGAATGCTTCATTTCAAAAATGTGGCTTGATTGGTAAAATTACAGTTGTTGAATTGATGCCTCTATGAACATAAAAGTTAAAGTTCAAAAATACATTCAGTGACTGGATCAATGTGTATAAAATAATTAGTGTAGTCATATAGTATGTTGTTAATAGTAGATGAAAAGTATAACATTGTTTTCATTATTTAATTACAAATAATTTTTAATTATCTAAAGCAGTGTTTTTCAACCTTCTTGAATACGCGACCCCTTTACAAGTTAAAAAATTTTGGCCACCCCCCTAGGTCCATATTAAAACTATATCAGTGATTTTAAAAACTATGTATTTAATTTTCTTTCTGTTGAGACAAATTATTCTTGATTAAAATGAAAATTTCAGAAGAATCAACAATAATTTAACACACATGAAGTATGAAACTTCCTTTAATTATAACATTAGGCACAGTGAACTGTTGACTGTTTTTTTTTTTCAGGACCTCAAATTTCAGCTTCTACTTTCCTATTTTTTATTTCTTTTTGCAAATCAGCTCAACACTTTTTTCCGCTATCATTTTCCGGGGTGGGCCGTAATTCTCGCTGAAATTGTAGTTTTTTTAATGTAGTGTAGGATCTACAAACACTTGTCTTTTTCTTATACCTGCGACCCCCCTGGGGGTTGTGACCCACAGGTTGAAAAACACTGATCTAAAGAAAACATTAGTTTTTCTTTAACATTGAAGAGACATGAGACTTTTTCACCAATCATGAGCATTTTTATTATTTTTTAAAATATAACATGTTGATAATTATAATAAATAATAATACAACACAATAACAGTTTTTTATATTAGCTCAATTTTTAGTAGAAATACATTTCATTTAAAAACCATACTTGGCAAGAGATTCTTGTATTTAAATAGATATTTTAATGTCTCATTTTAAAATTTGAAGTTCTACAGATAGATAAATTTTTTATCATCAACTAACACAGTTTAGTTTCAATTTTTAAGCATATATAAGGCTAAAATTTAAGGACTTATCACACTGCTTTGGAAAATTATTCATGTAAACTTGTTTCCTATGTGAATAATTTTTCATAAACATTGTGACTGATCCTTAAATTTTAGCCATTGTAGACATTTAGAAATTGAAGCTAAATAACAAGGACTAAATTTTATTTTTCTTGTTTTAAAGATCATTTTTCATTTGCTATAAATGTTCAGTTTGTAATGATAATTAATATGTAAATTTGAAATTATATTTCTACAATTTTTAATAATATAGATGTTCATTTTATTGACGAAAAAGAGTATGAACTTGATAAGAATAAGAAGAGAGAAAGAAGCAGGAGTCCTATTAAAAAGCCTATAGAAGAGAAATTTCAAACTGATATAGAAGTGAAGTTGGACAAAAGTAAAATTGTTGTTGGTTAGTATTAGAGATTTAGTTCTTTTTTTTAAACCATTGATAAATACAAATTTTTGGAAGAATTACTAAATATTTAAATTTATGATTTTTGATATATTTAAAGAATTGTCTCCGGTGATTGAAGCTTTAAGAGATGATATTGATCTTGATATAAGTGATCCTGAAGCTGAAGAAAGTGAAGGTGAACAGAAAGATTCAGCTGAAGAAGTTGAAGATGAACCCATTGAAAGTAGCAGCAGCTCAAGCAGTGATACAGAAGGTACAATTTAATGATGATTAATTTTAATTAGAAATTTTTATTATATAATTATTTTTTGTATATTTAATAAAATATTTTAAAATTTACTTATAAAATTTTTTATTAATTTGTTATCTTTTGTTTATTAATTTGTATTCTGTTTTATTATTTTAAATATTAAATTTTATACAAGAGGGTTTCATTGAATAAATTCCATTTTATTATGTTGAGTGATTCATGAGTGGGAATAATGTTACACATATATTTTCTTGCTGTTTGTTTTCTATCTGCTAATTTTTTACTTAGATGTTGAAAATATTCAATTTCATATATACATTATGTAAAAACACAGAATCTGCTGCTACAATAATTGTTAAGCCACATTTTTAATTGCTTATTAGGTATAAAAATCTGTCCTCAAAGATATTTTTTAAATTATAGAATGAATAATTGAATGATTTGAATGAATTGAAAATATAAATGAACAATTGAAATACTATAGTATTTCAATTGTTCATTTATAATTTCAAATCATTCAATTATTCATTACTATAGTATTTCAATTGAAATACTATAGTAATGAATAATTGAATGATTCATTACTATAGTATAGTATTATAAGAATTGAAATTATAAATGAACAATTGAAATACTATAGTATTGTTCATTTATAATTTCAATTCATTCAAATCATTGAAATACTATAGTATTTCAATTGTTATTTTTTTCTATTTCCATAATAAAATCATTTCTTCCTGTGTTCTTTTCTTTAACCATACACATGCATTGGTCCTTGCTGAATTTTTATTTTTTGGTTGTAGTAGGAGTGTTGGTGAATGAGGTGAGGAACAACGAATGAAAGTAATGACGGCAAGGACCATGTGGTATGTATAGTTAAAGAAAAGAATAGGGAGAAGAAATGATTTTATACGGAAATAGAAAAAATAACAATTGGAATATTAAAATATTGTAGTATCAAAAAAGTGTTTGTGCTTCATTTGGCTTGTTTGAAAGAAAGCCCACTGAAGAGGGAAATATTATAATTTCCAAAATGCATCTGGTAAAGTAAAGTTGCCTATAGGCTAGTATTTTTGGAATCTGTGGATGTGATAATTCATAGAGAATAACAGTGTTTGAATTAGTTACATATTGATATTTGAAAAATGGAACAGAAGTAAAAAGTTAAATTTTATCATGTATTCTTAAAGACAGCAATACTATAATATATATTTGTATTCTACAAACACTCTAGAATATTATATTTATAGTTTTGCTTAATTTACAGGCATTTTAATCTGTTTAATGAATGATTTTATTCACATAAATTTATTTTCTCAAATATGTTATTAAAGTAGTGAATATATGGTGAATATATTACTCTGAATTTTTTAATATATTCATAAAGGAATAAGGAACTTGAAACCCTCTTAAATATTATATATTATCAAAAAAAGTTACTTATTTTATCACTGTTAATTTAATTCTTTTGCACAATTAATTGCACAAAATAAATAGAATGAAATGAATTTTCAGAAAGTACTCATTCTTCAGATAGTGAACAAGATGAAAAAATGTCAGATGGTGAAGTTGCTGATGCAAAATCAGGTACTTAAAATTTTTTGTTATACTCACTATACAATACAATAGAGTCCCACAAACTCAACTTAATGTGGAATGAGAAGATGTAGAGTTACTAAAAATGATGTTACTGAGAATTCTACAGACTCCAGAGTGGGTTATTCACAACTCATAATGCATTGCTATAAATTAATCTATTAAAATCTTTTAACACATTTAGAACAAAATAAAATCTACAGTACAATCTAACATAAAGTAATTACTGTACTACAAAAGTGGTGATACTGGATTGTCTCTCTCACTTATTTCTTTGGGCTGCTTCATAATGTAGGTAATGGAGGGATAAAATATCTATCGCAGATGCACCTTGCTCCTCAAAATAATGCAGGGTTCCCTCAACAGCCTTCAGTCCTTCAGTGTGAGTCATCTACTTCCTCATCTTTTGATTATTCATCTTTTACTTGATATTCACATTTTGAACTTTCTAAAAGCATATATTTATATAAAGTATCTTTGGCCCACTGAATATACCTAAATTTCTAATTAGGCCCATTAGGAAAAAAGATTGAACAACCCTGCCCTGTATCATTGGCTGACATAGAGAAGTCATGTTTGGAGAGAGAAACATGGCTGTAATGTTTCTGTCTCTCAACTGTTTGGCATCAGTGTGAGATGAAGCTTAGTCTATAAAAAAAGTGCTTTCCATTTCAGATTTTTTTTTAATTTCATAAACTTTTCCACCAAGGGAAAACAAACTGTTGATAAAACCAGTTTCTAAGTATTGCTCTATTCTTCCATTCATTTGACTAAATGAATGGATGAATAGAGCAAATCTGTACCAAATGAACAGGTCAGTAAAAGTGCCACACTTATTTGTATACTCTGTTAATTTTTAAATGCACTTATAGGAAAGTTGGAAAGGACTTTTCAACTTTCTAAGTGTCAGTTTAAGTTTGTATATGCCTGTTGCATTGCTGCATGCTAGGATTATAATGCTTTCTTTAGTTTTTTGTAACCTGGAATAGATTTTTCATTCCTAGATGCAAGTGTTTTCAGCCTGAATTTTCAAATGTTTGCATTTGAAAATTCAGGCTGATCTCATCACAGTTGTAAATTTGAACTCCAAACAGGCTCCTTTTCAAGTCAGTTTGTGAAAATTTGCCTTAAATCTCTCACACTTTCCTTATCAAGAGAAAGTTTTTCTCCAAAAATGCTCAGTTGCTTGATCCTGTAGGCCTTTTTTTACCTGTCTAGCCACCCAATGTTTGCAGTAAAGCTAGGCTCTTCTCTTTCTTGAAATTCCTTGGCAAAATTCAGCTCTCTCTTGCAAGTGTATTCTGTAATGGGTATTCCATTTTCCCTTTTCTGCATAAATAACAAATAAAGTGCCCCACTTGCATTTTCATATTCAGCACCTTTCATGTTTTTTTTTTTCCTTTAAAGTGTCAGTACAAGCTCTTTTCTCACACCAAGACTCAATTTCTGACCTCTTTTTTCCCAGCTTTATGTTGTTGTCCATCTGATGCTTAAATCTATTGCAATTTTATTAATACTTTCCCCTTTATCTAACTTCTTTTTTCAATGTGACATTGTTTTGTTTTCTTTTTTTCTCCAGAACATATTTACAAGACAATTATTCACAAAAAATATCATGAAAGTTTAACAGTAAAGTGAGAGAAACAAGATTGTGTTGAAATGCAGGTCAAGTTCAACCATATTTTCATTGATGGAAGTGTGTTCCAACCATAGTGGAATTCTGCTAAATTAACATACAATTGCATAGCAATGATGCTAGTCTAAATAGTGGCATTTTCACAAAGGTATTATATGTGCAAATTCATATACATATAAATAATTCCTATTGGTATATAGTTAATATCTGTAATTAAATTTTAATTTTAAAAAATATTGGCTCTTTGGTGGCTACTTTCAAATTAGTAACATTCATATTATGGCATGCCTTGGAAAAAGGTTATATTCTTTGCTAACATGTGGAATTGCTGCTATTATCAAGTGTTTAAGTGTTTATTGCTGCTATTATCAGTGAAAAAATGATAACTTGTTTGATCCTAGTGTTAACTTAGAGGTAAAAATTAGATTAATTTTTTTTACTGACATGATGAGTTTTACAGAATGTTGAGTTATGGAGAGTTGAGTTTTCAGGACTCTACTGTATTACAAAATCATATTGTTTTTATGAAATTATGTGCATGAATAAGAGGTACGGTACATTACTTTTTATTGTTGTATTTAAGATAATACTCAATTTTTTGTTGTTTTCACTTCATTCTGCACAGATACTGATTTGTCATTATCTGTAAAAATAAATTTATTTTTTATTTTTATCATCTGTTTCAGAAAATTTTTATATAATTGGTTAGGATAGTATAATTAGCTGTTAAAATATTCTGTAAAATCTGTTTATGTAATTTTTTTTTATTTTCTAGAAGAAATGTTTTTTTATTCTTTCTGCTTTTCTTGTTAACACAGAAAATTTCAGTTATATTTTCAAATCCTGGAATAGTAAAACTTCGACAAGGGATGCTCCCAAAGTCCTTTGCTTATTTTGCTAGTGATAAATTTTGCTTATCAACTAGATGATTGCTTATAGAAATGACCATCTACAGTCGATTGTTTCAAGCAATATTATTAAATAGTTTTGTGTGACTAATTTTGTAAAAATGAGAATAAACATAGTAAGTTACATATGCAACTGAGACTGATATTGCATAATCTTTGTATACAGTAGACCCCCCCTATAATGCTTAGATACGTTCCACATTAATCGAATTTTACATTGTAGGAATCATTAAATACATGACCCAATCGCAGCCCGACAGGTGTGAAGTTTACGGACTAAGGCTGTTTGAAAGGTTTTCTTCTATAAAATTAACCGATTCTAGACTAATTCCACTCAACATTTCCAAAACATGTATAATTTTTTGGGAATAATCTGTATAAACTATGCTATAAACAAAAAATTGTAGGATTACTTACCGAGCGTGCACCGTTCGACTACGCCGTTGCTCAACCTTGTTTTCGTCACGGAACAGCGCACGAAACGGCGGCCGCGATTTCTGATAACGAATTTTTCGCAGAAAAATAACTTGACCTTTGGAGACATCATTAATATAAATAATTTTTATGGCTGTTGAATAAGAAATGTTTCTTTCACAAGAAATGTATAAAATTAGTGCCGTATTAGACTTACGGTACCTAATTTACATACTGTACAGACGATAATAAACTCAACTTACTAGCCTAAACTCTCCGTAGCGTGGCGCAGGGCGGAGGAAAGTAGTTCGGCTGCTCATCCACTATTGGTCCAGATTCTATCAATCTTGTCGTGACATGAGTCGGCGACGTTTTAGGAGTTTCTTTATATGAATATTGCTACAATTTTTTCGCTACATTATAGGAATTTCTGTTATAGGAACCCACATTATAGGGGGGTCGACTGTATATAATGTCTTCATACTATTATTACCACTTAGTTTAAGTTATTAGTCAATTAGCAGATTTTTGTCTTTGATTTGAAATAAACAACACAAAGAAATTTTATTTTCATATAATTAGTAAGTTAATTCATTGTAAGTTGCATTACTGTAATATGAAATTAATCTATAATCAAATGTGCTTTTTTTTAGCATGTGTAAAGCAGTGAATTTTTACTGATTTTTTTTCATTTGCAATTATGCTGCATGTAATTGCCATTCTCAAAAAATTATGTGATGTCTCTTCTCTGCACTTGCCAAATTTTAGCATTGAATGTTGTTTAGTTTATGAGATATTGTTTTGTTCATAGAACAATTTCCATAGGGAGACTCCCAAACATTATGATAGCATGGCTAATGTGAAGTAAGTTCAGCTGGAAATAAATGTGAGGGTTGTGATGATTGTCTGAAGAATGAGAAAATGACTTTTCAGACACAATATAAAGTGCAGAAAATTGTTGAAGGTCATAGTGCCATAGACTATTGTATGGAGACAAGCATTCAAGGTCATAGCAACTTGAAGACCACCATTTTGTTACATCATGTATAGCTGACAAACATTCATAACATCAGAGAGGAAAATTGCCATATTATGCAATCTTGTGGGGGAATAAAATTGTATGCAGTCACTTGCTTAAGACAGTGATTTTTTACAGTGGCTTTTTGAGGCCCTCTGATAATCAGAAAAAAACTTTTTTGACTAAAATTTTTATAGTCAGATGTGTAGCATGTAGTGATGTGCCGGATCGTTAAAAATGTATATCCACAGATATGGATATGGATCTCAACTTTCATACTCAGTCAGCGCCAGTGCGTGTGACCTTGGACCGATAGTTGACGCTTTGCATTAGTAACGCGACTTGTTTTGACTTGCACTGCGCATGTTTGTGTTTATAGTTTAGTGTGGCACAGAATAGCATAGATTACGTTTGTATTTTTGGAGAGTGTTGAGTTAAATTAAAATAAAAACAGTGTCAACAAAAAAGTTTAGTAGTGTAATATGGAAATATTTTAAGATAGTAAATGAATTTTGCATGATAAAATTTTTGCAATGTCAATACGCCAAATATGTGATTTTAAGAAATAAAAAGTGATTTGAATTGAAGTTATTAGTATTTTATTGCTACCTATCTTTAAAATTTCATATAAGTAATGAAATTCATTAAAATAAAAGATCCGTTAAAGATCCACTAAAAAGTAACGAATACGGATCTTTTTTTTCTCTCTGATATCCACAGATATGGATATCTGGCACATCACTAGTAGCATGTAGCACAAGAATATAATGGAAAGCACAGTCAAGTAAGTCAATTTGGTGGAAAATGGCTGCAAAAAAATTAGTAGATGTGGAAAATTGCCACTGCTGTGTGTGATTGCAGGTTAAAGTGTTTTTATTGGCTATATAAATAATTTATTTTTTCTCAGTATTATCATCTTTTAATGTCAGAAGGACTTCGAACATACAAACTGGGAGTGCTATATTGAATGCTACAAAACAGTGAGAGTGAAGGTTTGCTAACTTTATTTATTGGTCAACACTAATAGAAGTGATGTCACCATTGCTGACATCACTTCTATTACTATCAACCAATGAGAATCTCTTATTTATGTGGCATCTGAATGACTACAAGTGCCCAAGAATGATTGCAGCATTTAAATTTTAAAGATACTAAATAATTAATAAAAAAAGGTTGGTTTAGATATTAAATATGTAAACCAACATCATGCATCTTTCTACAAAAAAATATACAACATATAAATTTTATATGTCATGATGAGTTTTACAGAATGTTGAGTTATGGAGAGTTGAGTTTTCAGGACTCTACTGTATTACAAAATCATATTGTTTTTATGAAATTATGTACATGAATAAGAGGTACGGTACATTACTTTTTATTGTTGTATTTAAGATAATACTCAATTTTTTGTTGTTTTCACTTCATTCTGCACAGATACTGATTTGTCATTATCTGTAAAAATAAATTTATTTTTTATTTTTATCATCTGTTTCAGAAAATTTTTATATAATTGGTTAGGATAGTATAATTAGCTGTTAAAATATTCTGTAAAATCTGTTTATGTAATTTTTTTTTATTTTCTAGAAGAAATGTTTTTTTATTCTTTCTGCTTTTCTTGTTAACACAGAAAATTTCAGTTATATTTTCAAATCCTGGAATAGTAAAACTTCGACAAGGGATGCTCCCAAAGTCCTTTGCTTATTTTGCTAGTGATAAATTTTGCTTATCAACTAGATGATTGCTTATAGAAATGACCATCTACAGTCGATTGTTTCAAGCAATATTATTAAATAGTTTTGTGTGACTAATTTTGTAAAAATGAGAATAAACATAGTAAGTTACATATGCAACTGAGACTGATATTGCATAATCTTTGTATACAGTAGACCCCCCCTATAATGCTTAGATACGTTCCACATTAATCGAATTTTACATTGTAGGAATCATTAAATACATGACCCAATCGCAGCCCGACAGGTGTGAAGTTTACGGACTAAGGCTGTTTGAAAGGTTTTCTTCTATANATATCTTCGGAATACCGACCAATCATCGGCCAGTAACTCTTTCGTGAGAACGGATGAAAGGGGAATGAATGAGGGGTAACCATTTCCCATCTGAGCAGGATTTTAGTGAAGATAAGGGAAAGTCAGAGGATGTTCTCTTCTGTGAAAGGAAGTAACATCTATTATCTGCCTATTCCCACGTTAAAACAGTATTTTTCTCACCAAAAATGAAGTAATATTTGGTGACATTATTTTAACATTATTAATAAAATATTAATTTAGACCCAGGGGCTTTTCGGGTCTCACACTAAGTTGTGCATTCCAGCAATTACTATGTACTGTAATGAACAAATGAAGCTGTATATCAGAGGTTATCACCAACACTGCAGATCATATGGAGAGAAGTTTCCATAAATTGATAGAGAATTTATCACAACAAACAGATGCATTATGAAGGTTGTGTCAACTTATACTCCACAATTTGTTACTGAAATTCTGATATGTTAATGATACATAAGAACTAAGAACACTGACAAAGATGAATATGGCTCTTGAATGTGATTGGATTTGTGGACTTACTTTATTTGTTTTTTTCAAAGAATATTGATCTAATGTTTGTTATCTGAGGCTATACATCAAACACCAATTTTAAATTATGGAATGATTTCTGCAGGAACACGCACAAATTTTCCGAAAACCAATGTTGTGTATTATGAGTTTTGACATATCATGACCAGGCATCATCAGTTAGAAAACTGATTTGATAAAATTGTATATAAAGGAATTTTAAATTATTACAATAAATAAAATTGACAGACAAACAAAAATAAATGTGAAAAATTGAAATTATAACAATGCTTAATACATGTCATTATTCCAATGATAAATTTATAGTTGTTTTAATAAATAAGTAAGGAATAAGGTTAACTACATAGTAAAATCTATTATTTGATTATGAATTTACTTGTGAGCACTATATTGGCTTTTTTTTATTGCTAGACTTATTATACAACCACAGGACTTATCTGTAATCAATATTTTATCATAGTTGTTTACCAATCATCATAATTTTATTGTATTTTCGTAAATGTGCTAACATCAATCTCATAATTATTTATTGTAGAACTTACATGCTGATGATGGACTTAAGGTCTGAAATGCATTCTTTTTGAAACAATAAAGTGATTTTCTAAGACTAATCTGATGTCCTGTGGTGGTGTAATAGGTCTAAGCATTAAAGAAATGCCAATATAGTGCTCACAAGTAAATATGAAGACTAGACAAGAAGCATATCATAGTATTGATTATGAATAAACTATATATTTTTTTCTATAATACAGAGGAGGAAGAACCAGGCCCTGAAAGAAGTGAAGAAGAAAAAGATATATTACCAATGTCACCACCAAAGCCAAAAGAAGAAGAGAAAGATCAACTGCCACCTTATTTACCAGCTATTCAAGGGTGTCGAAGTGTAGAGGAATTTCATTGTCTTAATAGAATTGAAGAAGGAACTTATGGTGTCGTATACAGAGCTCGTGATAAAAGATTAAGTGAGTTCTTTTGCTTATTTCAGAATTTATAATATTTGTGACCTAAAGTACATTATGTAAATATTGTGCAGATGAAATTGTTGCTTTGAAACGTTTAAAAATGGAAAAAGAAAAGGAAGGTTTTCCAATTACTTCACTAAGAGAAATAAATACTCTTCTGAAAGCTCAGCATCCTAATATTGTGACAGTTAGAGTAAGTGTCTTATTTTGCTAATTTTTTTATGAGGGAAACATTTTATTTGAATAACATATAGTTTTGAGAATATACAAGGTTATAATTATTATATTATAATTAAAATTGTTTATTTAGAGGTCTTTGTAGCTGTAACTAATAAGTGGAATTGCAAAAAATATGATGTTATACTATTCAAGGAATGGGGGAGAAGGATTTTGCTAGAAAATTCTAGTTAAAATCTACCAGTAGGGAAAAATATGATGCTATACAACAGGAAATAATTTAAAAATAAATAAGACAAATCTAAAATAAAAGTTTAAATTTCTATTTCTGTATTTTGCAAAAATTGAGAAAGAAAAATAAACTGTTACAGGAAATAATTTCACAAATTCAAATTCATTTATTGAGGATTCCTACATACAATAGTGTCAATTATCCAAATCAATTGGGGACTGGAACTGTTTGGAAAATCGATTTTTCAGATAATCGATTATGTACGAAAAAATACAATATTAATCTATACTTACTAATAATATTATAAAGAGGTAATGTTTGTAAGTAAGTTTGTATGCAGCAGGTAATCCCCGAAACTACTCATCTGATTTCAAAAATTCTTTCACCAATATTTAGAATGGAACTTCAGGGTAGACATAGGCTGTATATTATTCCGTTAAACATTCATATAAATTAAAAGATATAATCTAGGTTAAGGCTTTTATGTCCAACAGATGGCGCTACGAGTACGACGCCCTAAGTTTGCTTTTCTGTGAAAATGAACTAAAGCAGATCATATTCTATCTATTTATATGAATAAAAATGTAATGTTCGTTTGTTCCTACCGATTCCTTTGAAATTTTGACACAACGCTGCATTCGAATACACACGTGTTACGTGTTGAAATTCAACCCCACTGAAGGGAGATGGTTAGGATTAAGGCTTACCGTAAAGAACTCTGTTTCTATTTATACTATTTTAGATGCAGGTTTTTGCGTTTTTGATTGCATTTTAATAGAATACGTCAACAGAATGTACACTAAGAAGAAATATTTCGAAAAATTTCCCCCCCCACGGGTGGTGTTATAAATTTATAATAGATACATTTTGAGCCACAACAACGCGTGGCGGGGTCTGCTAGTATAGTATATTAGTATATCCCAATAATAGTATATTAATATATCCCATGTCTAAATTTTTCTCTGTTGCGTGTCACTTTGCGTTGAATTTTCATTGATGTTAAGCCTAATGAAAATTTTTATAATAATAATCGTGGCTATTGTATCGTTAAAAATTATTTCTTTATTTACAAACAAAATAAATATATTGAAAAATATAAAAGCAAAAAAAATTATACTTTATAAGTTAATCTAGTATCAAAAACATTCGATTCAGCATGACACAGTCCGACTGGAACACTTTCGGTTAACTGATGTTTCGGTTGATCAACGTTCAGATAATCGACGCTCTACTATACTTGGAAAGTCAGGAAAAATCAGGGATTTTCATTAGTGTTTAGAAAAGTCAGGAAATTTGCTTCCTTGACTGCCTTGTTGATTTTTTTGTTGACAATATGCTTGACTAAGTGTAGTCATCTGCAGGCAGCGAGAAGTAATGTGGTGCAATACAACTTATGAAAAGGGGTGAAGAATATTTTCAGGAACCAAATTTCTCCCAAACATACACAAAATTTCCCCAAAAATTCACAAACTACAAACAATGATAAATAATTTTAATTTAAATGTTATTTATCATTTTTTATTTTAATAATTTTGATTGAGTAACAAAACAATTTTTAATTTTTTTTCCAGTTTATTAATATTTTATAAACTTCAAGAAATTTATTAAGGGATAACCTTAATAATTTAATAAACCTTAATATACGTTTGTACATGGATTATACGGGATTTGTTAATGAATAATAACTAATTAAAAAGTTGGAGAAGCAATAGCATGTGCATAGTAAGTCAAATGCTGTTTTATTTTGTTAATGAACCTTACAGTAAGGATGCAAGGGTCAGAATTTGTACAAAGTTGGTCTGGGAAAGTCATGGAATTTAAAACAAAAATTTGAGTAGGAACTCTGTTTATTTATTCACAATGTTTAATGATGTCACTGACATTGAATGTGATTGTTATTATTTTAGGTCAGAGATTGCATTTGATGCAATGTACTGAATTATAGAATGCAACTACTTCTGCATATGTTGCATTCTGCAACGTTCTGCATGTTGTTCTACATATGTTACATTATAATGTCATTAAAATAATCAAGTTATGGACATTTTCTTGATAGACATTGGTTTTGAGGTGACTCTACAGTCAATTTTTTTTTTCAAAGAACAAAAACATTAAAATTTTTTATTTTTACTTTATCTTAGTTATTTATTTTATTTTTTACCTTATTCCATGTGTTTTATCTTGTGCAATGCTATATTTCATCCTGGTGGAAAATTATAGGACTAAAATTTTTCTTTCCATTCTTTGAATAGTACATGTACGAATATTACTGCCATTCTTCTTATTAGTTAAAGCTACAGAGAACTCTGAATAGAGAAACTTTAATTATAACCATCCTGTTCATTCAAAATTAGGTTTTAAAGTATTAACATTCACATATTTTTATAAGAGAATTAGTTTGTTAAAATACTGTATAATTATTAATAACTTGTATAAAGAGATGATCATAATTCAGTTTTTTCAAATGCAAGTTTTATGCTAAATTTTCATTTAATTTTATGTATAAAAATTGTATATTTAAAATATATAAAAAAATTATTTTTGTAAGTATTATTAAAAAATATATTTAATTTTTTTTAACAGGAAATTGTAGTTGGTAGTAATATGGATAAAATATATATTGTTATGGATTATGTTGAACATGATTTGAAGAGTCTTATGGAGACAATGAAGCAGCCATTTCTTGTTGGTAAGGAGTTTAAAAATAATTTCATAAATTAGAAATTAATAGCTTCTCATTCCAGCTAGAAGGAATGAGAATTAGAAATTAAATTCTTAATATATATATATTTACAATACAATACTTTGTGTGTATTATATATACAATGGTAAACCTCATACTTTGAATGTTCCAGAGTTTGAACTCTAAATTCAAGAGAAATTCAATCTGGAATTTGAACTGTGCATGCAGTGAAAAAATATGCTCACTGTAAATGCCATCTATTGTGTACTCAAGTCGTCTCTCACTTTCATTATGAAAGCATCTCTTGCATTACACTTGTGTATTTTCAGTGCTTTTTGTTTTATATATATAAAACACCTACTATTAACTATGACATCCAAGAAGCAAAAATGTGGAAGCAATAAAGCCTAAAAGGAGGCTTATATAGCTTTTGAAGTATTGCTGTAAGCTATCTTTTGAATCATTCATAATGTTTCCTGCAATATTGCTTTTTTCCTCATTTGATGACTCAAAACAATCTCTGACCATTTATAACAAATGGACTTGCTCAAACATCACATTTTACATCTAGATATATGATATTTGTGTAAATTCATCTGACATAAATAGCCTGAGATCATTTTGACATTTTATGTCATTAAATGAAGTAAAAACAGCATTACAAGAGATATTACAGATGGTTGCAAAAGATGGCTGTACGAGTGCTAGAAAAAGTGTATTATTGCCCAATGGTATTAGTTTGAAGGTAGTTGTGCATTAGTATTTTAAGCTATTCATGATAAGGAACTCTACATGCCAAGTCTCTGAACTTTTTGGAAACTATTACATATTCAATATATTATTTATAATAAATCTATCAAAGGCATTCATAACAAGTTTCAACTCTTACAAAACTTTTAGTCCATCCTGAGATGAACAAATATACATCAAATATTTTAATTGATAAACATTGCATGTACTGTAAGGTCTCGTTTTATGCGGATTTTTTTTATGCGATTTTGAAGTTGTGCGGTTTGTATTTCATCCAAAATTTTTTTGGACAAACATACATATAGGCTTGTTTAGGAAGCCCGCGTATAGACAGTCTCCAAAAATCGTGGGACGCTCAAAACCTACTCCATTTGTTCCACTGACATATAACCTTTATGGATGTAAAGGACAGCTAGATCTACCTTAATCGCTTTAGTTCCTAGCAATTTTTGATATAAATGTAATTAAACATTAAAAATACTTAAAACTAAAAAAAACGAAGGAAATGCGTTAATTTTGAAGAAAAAGCTTCAAAGTTTAACTTCCTTTGTCTTGCCCTTCTGTGAAATTTAACACCGATGAGTCAGTTTATACATCTGGATGACCTTGAACACAGCTGGAGTTGGATTTCCCGGGGCATTCTCATAGACGTCGCGGGAGGACAAGGGTTTAAAGTAGGGTGAAGCTGGCCGTATATTTTTTAATATTTTTAAAAAATTTGGAGACTTAAAAAACATTCCAAAAATTCAAAAAAAAAATGTAAAACTATATTACTTTTCAATAAAATAAACTGAATTAAGTTTGAATACAAGTTTATTTTAAGCTTTTATATGAATTTCTTTCAGACATTCGAAGTAATTCATTAAGCAGCCTATTTCTTTTAATATCTGCAAACTTTTTTATGCGGTTTTAAGTTAATTTTAACTCGTTGTTTTGGTTTTATGCGATTTTAGAAAATTACGGAATGTATCCCTACTTTTTCAAGGCAAGTAGTCTTTTTTTATGCGAATTTTTTATATGCACTTTTCTGTAGAACGTATCCACCGCATAAAACGAGACCTTACAGTATTGTGAAGTGCATTTATGTTGAAGTTCATTGGTTAAAATGTTTAATGTATGTTTCTGAGGAAGACCTGTGTTATGTAAGTTAAATAAAGGATTTCTGATAACATTGTGTATCTTTAAGCGTGATAAGAATCCTATTTTCAGGATTTTCTTTATCATATTGCCAATTAGAAATTCATTAATTAAATATCTGAAGTAAAAGTAATAGTATTTGAATTTACTGCATCTAAATTGAAAATTATATAAACAAAATTCCACTTCTTTACTTTAAAAATTTTTTGTAATTCATTATATTGATAAATAACTATAAGCATCTGTTATAATTATCATATAATAATAATTATGATGATGTTTTGATTTAGAAAATGAGGAAAAAAATTCCATATTTTTTATATTACTGTTTATGTTCCTATTACTATACAATGCTAATATTTTATAATAGTATATCAATAAAAAATATTCTAAAAAGAATCGATGGAGTCAGATAATCTATTTTTTATCGTATTGTACTATTCATTAGGACACGGAAAACTACTAGTTTTCCATTCGTTTTTGACTTTTGGAAGCTTAATAAATCCAGAGTCTGTAGACTGGTATAAAAATTAAGAAGAAGGTAAACAGGTTAACACAAAGAAAAACACTTATTTTTATATAAATATACTTCACCCCAAATGCATTTCGCCTGTCAAGGCCTCTTCAGTAGGGTTTCTGACAACTAGAATGTACAATAGGAACAGCATAAGATATTTTAACATCCGCAAACGACACATGAATAGTACAATACGGTAAAAAAAAAATTATAATAGTTCAGGAATAAATATACAATGATATATTATTCGTCAAATCTGTGAATAGTTTGTTTTTGAAATAATATGTAACCTCTCTGTCATTGCTTATGATGATGATGATTTCTAAATTTTTATGGACATTTACTCTTGTAAAAAAAAAAAAAAAAAAAAAATTATGTNAAAAAAAAAAAAAAAAGATAGAACTGGAACAGAATTAAACATTTTTTTTTTTTTTCAAAACTCTTATTTTAATGTGTGTACTCAAAGGCATAATCCTCTTTATAAAAGTGAATGTAACAGAAGATAACAGTTAAAGTTTAGTTAAAATTTTATATTTTACTTTAAAAGTAAGATATAAAATTTTAACTAATTTAAAACAATCAAAAATTTTTTATTAATAAAATAAAGTTATAATAATTAGTAAATTCAAAATATATAATTTAGAAAAGCTAAGTATTTAAATGTATCTTCTACAGGTGAAGTGAAGACACTAATGGTACAATTATTAAGGGCAGTTGCACATCTTCATGACAATTGGATACTTCATAGAGATTTAAAAACATCCAATCTACTTCTTAGTCATAAAGGGATTTTAAAAGTAAGCTTAGTTACATGAATTTAAAAAGAAATACATTTTATTTATTTATGTAAACCTTATTTTAGGTTGGTGATTTTGGATTAGCTCGAGAATATGGTTCACCATTGAAACCTTATACTCCTGTTGTTGTGACGTTATGGTACAGAGCACCAGAGTTATTGTTAGGTGCAAAAGTAAGTTTTGTTTTATTCAAATGACTAAAAATATATTATGGGGTGAATTTATTCAGTTTAAGTAGTAATTGTATTATTTAAACTGAAGAATGTACTGTTTAATATTGAAAGCTGTTATAATAAAAATCCAACAATGAGTTGTGTAACTTTCCCAACAAAAACATTTAAAATTGTCTGTTGTACTATCCATTATGAGATTGTATTAAAAAATGTTTATAATTTTAATTATTATAAAATGGAAAAAAGCTTAGTTTTATAAAAATTTGTAAATGCTAATAAGAATAAAATGTACATTAAGTCCAATCCAACTTCAGACATATGACATCATCTATCTCCCCACCCCCTGGATCTTTAACCACCAAAATTTAATAGCACTGATTCTCTGATACACAAACCTCACTGTAAAATTTCAGAAATTTTCAACAAAGGGCATAGGAATTATTAAGCTTCAAAGTGGCTGAGCAAAATTGTACTCTCCACATGCACATTAACATCCATACATACAAAAAAGAAACCCAAATCATTTTGCATTTCTAGACATTTCAAGGTCTAGAGTCCAAAAACAAAAATCTTAGGGGTTAATTTTTTTAACCAATTGCCATACTTTCCCTTTGTTATATACAAAAGCTAGGAAAAAATTAATTATAAATAATGATAATTTGTTGTAAATAATTAGTAATAATTTTATATAGGGTAATGACACCACTACTCAACCATTTAAAGCTGTCCTGGACTTTGATATTTTTTATTACAATGTGTATAACATGAAAAGAAAAATTCATATATCAAAATAAAGTTTGTTTTATACTTGTTATGGGGAAAAAACATTTTTCATTAGACCTTTGTTTACATTATCCAAAAAATAATTTAATCACCCAGTTATCAACCAGTGGGTTGCACAATAATTTTTTTGGCAGTCGACAACTGGGTTTTCCTTCCTCAAGAGCCTCACAAATGTGGTGAAAGGATAAGCAGGCTCAATAATAGACTTTGTAGAAAATATGCACCTGAAACATGGAACCCTCATTATCCTTTAATGACCTGACAATGCCTCACTATGTGGTCAACTACCAAAAAGCATAATAATTTTTCCCATTACTGTGAGTGATGCAACTTGTTATTACATGTAATTGTAAATGGAGTCACTTTATGATGCTTCCCTTGTCCTTTTCCATAAACTAAATTATGCACAGATTTTGCCTTACATGGTTGGCAATAGAAGCCCCTACCTTATATATTGGTTTTGTTTTGAGTTTTATGTAAAGATTAAATTTATCAAATTTTTTAAAATTAAAACAAAAATTATTGTGTGATTAAATGTGATTAAATTTAGCTTTCAAAACATTCCACATATTTCAAATTAGAAAGTAGTAGTATTAGATTAATTAAATTAAATGTAAATTACATTTAGATAAATTTACATTTTTAGTTTAATGAACATTATTACTATTAAGTAATTATTTCAAAATATTTGTAATGACACTGAATAATTAGAAGAATGAACATTAAAAAATGTTTTCATAAAGTATTTTTTTGTTTTTCTTTAGGAATATTCCACTCCAATTGATATGTGGTCTGTAGGATGTATTTTTGGAGAACTACTTTCAATGAAGCCTCTCTTTCCAGGAAAATCTGAAATTGATCAGTTAAATAGGATATTCAAGGTTTGTTTTAAAGTTTTGAATATGGCTAGTTCACACTTTAGGAAAGTAGAAAAGAGAATTGCATGTGTTGCTTTTGTTTCTTTTTCTTCTTTCCCTGCAAGCATTTGTATTTCAAAACTATGAAAGATAAGCATGTGTATTTCCATTAATTAGGTTTTAAATATGGCTATTTTTAGCTACACACTAAAGTGCATATCAGAGAAAATCTTATTTATAAAATTTTTTTACAAAAATTAGAATACATGATCTTAATGGATTTAAGAAAAGATTAGGAGTAATAAAAGAAATTTAGGAAGGTGGTTCTGAAATACAGTTTGTATGTTTGATGTAACTTCTAAACTAATATTTCTTCAAATTAAGAATCTGTATTTAGACAATTTATTATCCAAAATAAACAGATGATGATTAAAAAATATCATTAAATATTGCTTTCTATGTTTAACAGCATAAAGAATTGTAAGACATAGAAGCACAGAAAAATGAACTGTCTTCCACTTTTCTTTCTTACTAAGAGAACAGAACTATGTCATAAATAGTATGCCATATTAAGCCACTTTAGTGCCATTTTTCTTTTCTTTTTGTTTGCCTAAAGTATGAAAGAGCCTTAACATAAAGATTTATGGATATTGTTAAAATATGAAAAAATAAATAAATGTCTAATTTGTTATAATGTATTTTGGTTATAAAAAATTTATATTTTCTGAAAGTTATTTTTAATAATATAAAATTAATTTAAAATTTTTATATTTCTTTTAAAATCTGTAACTCTGAAATATTAAATAGGGATTTTAAGATTTTGCATAATAATATCATGCAATTTTTTATATGTAACAAATAATTCTTGAACATCAATTACTATATAAGAAGTTATATAAATATATAAACAGTGAAACTTCTCTATAATACTTGCAGAACTAATAAAATTGTTTATTATAAAGAGGCTTTAATAAAAATATTCTGCACTGTTTTTTATATGAACATATAATACACATTATAGCAAATGATGACTTTCATGAAGAGTTAACTTTAACTGGAAATTTTTAAAAATAATACTATGTTTGTTTTTTACAATTGATTGTAGCAATCTGCTTCTCATTTTGCATAATTAAATCTTGTACTTTGTACAGTCTTCATCTTTTCTAATGATGTAAAACTAAAATGAGTTCTCATAGTCTGCAGCCTGTATATATGATTCTCAGTGGCCCTTTTACAGGTATCATTTCAACTGTAGCCATTGTTGTCATCATCATCATCATTTTTTTTCTCAATTTTAGAAAATAACTAAAGGATTGTTTATTTTGTATCTTAGTGTATGTGCTTGGGATGTCAGAATCTATGTCAACTTGTTGCAATGATGGTAAATCCTGTTGTATTTATGAGACACTGCATTACCTCCATAGAACTAACAATAACTGCCATAAAATTATAAGCATTTTCATTGTTGGAAGGAAATTTGGCTTTGAGAAAACAACTTAGAATTGTTAATGGCAGGACCTTTCTTCAAGAACTTTAAATCTTCAAAATGAATTGGAAGATATAGAGTGGCTTTATATACATTTTAACTGATGCATCACCATTTGTGTGCTTCAATATTATTTATCTATACTTGTCATTGAAATTTTGAATTAAGCCTTAATCCAAAGATTGAGAGAGTGAAGTGAGATTTAGCTGTAGAAATATAATCTCAACATTTTTTCATACAGCATTGTCAAGAAATAAAGGCATTTACTTGTTTTGGTGTAAAATTTTCCTTTTCGGTTGTTCCAGCCAGTCTGTCTTCATCCAGTTCTGTGTTTGTTTTCTGTTCAATTTCTGTATCAGTTCTTGAACCATCTTGGTTTGACAGCCTTTCTAATTACCAGTGATTTCTTGTTTTTTTCATTCATGCTTAACAGAACTGTTAGTTATATTTTTGCTGCTTAGCTACTGAAACATGATTCATGTTTAGAGCATAGAGTTTTGTTTCGGAAAGCACAAAAGACTTGTCATTATTTACAGTATTTTCTGGAGAATAACCAGTAATAATGGAATGAAGCCTAGACTCTCACTGAGCTGTTGTATTATGATCAATTCCAGACAACTTTCCACAAACAGTTTTGAATTTGATATGTTACTTAGAAATTTTCAAGCTATTTACTTGAGGCAAGTCTGTGTAACCTAATTTAGATATAAATTGTAAAGCTTTGGTTTAGGTCAGTAGTTTCCAAACTTTCTGTACCCTCTTTTTCAGAAAAAAATTTTTGCACCCACCTCAATTTTCGTAACAATCTAATTTCATAAATACTGTCCTTACAATTTATTTAATGGCCTGTAAAACAATATACCTCATTAAATAAAGTATATTGTTTGTCAGGGCTTGACTTTTGTTGAGACGTTTTGGCAAGAGTGTGGATTGATTTTTAGCATTCGTACCCAAGTCATTCAGATGAGAATTGTGAATTAGGCATAACCATTTTGCTTATTCATTTTTTCAACATCAGTTTGACTTTTTTTTTTTTTATGTTTGTTTGTATTAAAATGATAATTTGGTAAAAACTGCATACCCCATAGATTGGAAAATACTGGCTTAGGTGATTGGCCTTGACAATCTATCATTGACTCGAGAACCATTCTATGACTGCTTTTCCAATGAGAATGCTATTTCCTTTTTGTAACTGTCAGATTTGCTGCAAATGACAATTGCTGAATAACTCTTTTTATTTCCTGACAATTTCTGCATCTTATGTTTTTTCAATCTAGAACATATGCAAATTTTCTCATTCTGCATTTCTCTTGTTTATGACGTTAATAATTTTTACTTTCTCTTTTGATTTTAGTGATTTACTTGGAGGCATATCAACACAGAAAAAAACATATGGTCTTTATCACAGACTAATAATAGACATGAATTGTGTAAACATGGACAGTTATGTAAACTTTTTATTTTGAGTTACATCAATTTTTCTGCAACTATAGAAACTTCAAACGAGGAAGTTGACTCAATGAGAATCTATAGTATCTGTTTAAGAGAGGTCGTGATGTTTATTATGGAAGGGTGTCTGTTAAGAGATATTTTAGAGAATATATATATATATATTTCCTCTACAACTGAATGATGATAAATTTGGCTGGTTGTTGTTTACGTTTTGCTTGGAAAGCATGAATATTTCCTTGTTGTATTGTTCTTTAGAATGCTCTTATTAAACAAAAACTATACCTGCTGTCAAGTTTATCAACAAACAAATCCAATAATGAGAAATACAAATGACTGATGCTTATATATACAAATGCATTAATAAATCTTTATAATAATCTGTAAATTTCATATGATGCTTAAATATGTAGTTCCCATTATTCTCAAGAGGTAATACCAGTTCCAATTATATTGTTGAAATTGAATTTGTTATCATTTGGAATTCAACATAAATAAATTTTAATACATTTTTACAGTTGTTGCATTGTATATATTACTGTATTATTATGTGTTGGGTTTAGTGGGTTATACTCGGTACACACCGGTGGCTGTGTACTATGCCGGACCAGAGTCAAGGCATAGCAACCAAAACAAAACTAAAATTAAATGTGTGTGTCAGTGTCAGTGTCAGTATTAAGGAATTTCCTAACAATATGGCATGTGTTCAATATAGTGGCCTTCTGTAGTGTGATGTATGTATTTCTACTCAATTGTAATGTTCCCAGGCTTTTGTGTAGCGTGTGTGGTATCACACCTGTACAGGAGAGAATGACAGGTACAATAAGCACCCTTTCCATCCTCCACAGATGCCTTATTTCCTGGGCAAGTTCTGTGTACTTACTGACTTTTTCAGCGCATGTGTTTTGTACATTGGGAGTGTTTGGAATGGATATGTCTATAATGTATGTGATTTTATTGTGTTTGTCAATAAGTGTGATGTCTGGTCTGTTGTGGTAAATTGTTTTATCTGTGATTATGGCTTTGTTGTAATACATTTTGAGAGTGTTGTTTTCCAATACTGTCTGTGGAATATACTTGTAGTATGGTTCGTGAATGTCTACCAAGTTGTGTTTCTTTGCAAGCTCTTGGTGTATTATATTTGCTACTTGATTATGTCTGTGTAAATAATCTGTCTGGATGCCAAGAGCCTTCACCCAGAAGTAATGTGTTGTATAGTTTCTGGAATGATGTGACATTTTCTGCATGATTATTATTATTATTATTAAACATTTAATTTCATTTAATGATGAAATTCTGAAATTAATAAGTTTAGCATATTGAAATTAAAAACACCAAATGTCTGATGCTCAACAAAAAAGTAATTATAATACTATAATATTTTATATAATGTGGATTTTTAATGTTGTTTATTATTATTATTATTATTGTTTTTTTTTTTAAACTTTAATCTGTAGGCATTAAGAGGGCCTGTTTTTGTGCCTGTCATGCATTTGGTCAGGTTTGCAGCTATGAGGTAAGGGATATGATTAGATATATCTATGCCAAAATCATCTATGAGATTTCTAAGGATCTGACTAGGACTTATATCTGGACTCGTCAAAAGCCATCGGATGATGGAATAATAAAGGTGCTACTTAATATCCATTATCAAAAGGTGGGTGGCATCTTTATCATTCCTCATTTCATGTTGTTATCAATGGATGTCTCCCCTCAGATTTAATCTCATTTATTTTATTAGATTATTATAATTTTTAATATTCTTATAGAATTAGAAATAATTCTTAATTTTATTCTCAAATTTCTTTTTAAAATATTAATATACGACTCTGTATTCTTAAGTTTTTGACAAGTTACGCATAGTGAACTACTTCCTTTTATGTAAGCTTAAAATCAAAATTTTAAATTGATTAATTGAATTCCATTTGAAATTTAAAACCGTTATTTAAAATATGATACGTTAAAAGAAAAAAATTAATACATTTGTATGCTATTTCCTCTGATAGAATCCGACATATAATTTTATTTTTTTATGCTAGTTAGTTCTCCATAGATCACATCACATAACCTGAAGTTACAAAAGGAATTTTGTGACGTAACAGGCTACAGTTTCCGTTATCTGGTTTAATTCTAGTTGCACTTTGACAATAAATGGCAAGACGATAGTTTTTACTTCTTATATAAACTCTGTACTATGAATTCTATTAAAAACTTTGAATAGTTTAGAAAGAAAAAAGTAATAGTTTAGAATTTCGTTTACTATCAAACTTTAATGAATGACTGTAACAAACGGGAAAGGATGCGAGCATTTTCCGCGGCATAATCATGCATATTCATTACTCGAATAACGTAACAGAATAGTCTCTATAAATACAAATCCTGTGATAAAAACATCACCACGGATCGAGTTAACCAAAGCAAATAATAATTCTGCTGTATTGATTTTCTGATTCGAGTATATGTTAGTGCATTAGAAAAATCTTTATATTTTGCTTTCATCATCTGTCTACATTGAAATCTTTATAATTTTTTCCTTAATTTAACTTAAAAAATTGCTTTTAAGTTAAAAATATGCAGTAATTTAATCTTGGGTCAAAATTTATTCATTCACATTGTAAGAACTAGTTTGTTAGTAGAGTTAATGTAGCAGAAATTTAATTTTGTAATAAAATATTTTAAAAATTTGAAGCAGTTTCAAAAAATTGTAAGAATGAAGTTAAAAGTAAAAAAAAAATTCAAAAATTGTTGATTATTTTTCAAATTTTTTAAAAGAATAATCAACTATTTTCTTTTTATTTTTATAATATTTTTAAGTTTTAATGTGATGGCTTCTTGTAGAATGACAATGGTGAGTACAATACTCTGCTTTTTAATACCCGACAAGCTTAAAAGTCAGTTGAGTTTCTGTAAGTGAGAAGTTGTTATTAAAGTCCTTATGTGTAATTTAAAGACACATTCTAGAAACTTTTTGGAATTTTCTAACAAGAAAGTGACATTAACTCTTCAAAGTAGAGAGCCAAAGAGTTGAATTTATGATATTTTAATTTATTCAAATTTTTGTGAAAAGTTTCAAAATAAGTCTTTAAGACTGGTTAATGGTGTCAAAAACCAGTCAATTATTTACAAAAGATCCGATCTTAATGTCTATAAACAATTAACCGGTTTTCATTAATCAACTTTTTTCAATCGAAAGCTGAAAGACGTCAGAATAAATCATATTTCTATTGTTTCTTATGCATTATAATAACTGTTATTCTGCTCTGCAAACAGATTATAAATTAAAATTTCATCAGGATTATCAAGGCCGGATTCATTTTCATTAGAAAAAGCGGCTTTTGTTCCATACCTTGACCCAAATTTAATGTAACTTTTAGTTCGTTCTGCATTAATTTCTGATCATTTTTGTTTGGTTTTCGTACTCTGCATAAATAATGATAATGTGCACAGCTTATAATTTATTTTTCTACATGTTCAAAATTTGCTTTTATATTATAACATTATATGTAAATAAACATAAGAGGTTGATAGAAATATTGAGTAGTAATGACATATTGAGTTTTATGTATGTATGTATGTATATGTATATATATATATAAAATAAAAACTTGCTTTAATTAAATTATTTTAGTTATAATTTCATAAAATGTTCAATATTTTATTATTAAATTTGTATATTAATCATATTAATCACACTGTTTAAGTTATTTAATTCATATCTTCTAGTTTCTGGTGTAATGGTTATGATGCAAAAAGATAAGTTTGAACTAGCATCAATTAGATTTTGGTGTATATTAATTCATATAGTTAGCTGTGAAATTTAATTATTTTCAAGAAATTGCGGTCAATCAGGAAACTTAAACTAATTTGACTAATTCTTACTTTAATTTGCAGGATTTAGGTACGCCGAGCGAAAAAATTTGGCCCGGTTATTCGGAATTACCAATGGTGAGAAAAGTCACCTTTACGGAATATCCTTATAATAATTTGCAAAGTCGTTTTGGCCACAATTTCACAAAACTCGGATTTGATTTGATGAATAGGTAAGTCTTCCAAAAAGAATAATATAAATTTTTTAATCTCGCATACTTCAAATTAGAAAAATAATTACAGGTTCCTAACTTACAATCCCGCCCGCCGAGTGACAGCAGAAGAGGCCCTGTCCCATGAATACTTCAAAGAGACCCCACAACTGGTTCCGCCTTCCATGTTTCCAACCTGGCCTGCGAAAAGCGAGCAGGTTCATAGAAAGGCCCAGAGCCCCAAACCTCCTTCTGGTGGAAAACAGTATGCAAGGCAGCTGGTACGTAACGACTTCAAAGATTTTCTTACTTTTTGCTTCTCCAAATATGTGTCTGAATAACTCAATTACTTTTGCAGCAAGAAGACGACGAAGGTTTAATAGCAAATGCTAGTGGTTTTCACATGAATCTTACACACCAAGGCACGTCTGCCAAGGGTGCCGGTTTTAGTTTAAAGTTTTGAGTTTTGACCATCGTTTTCCATCTTGATTTTTAAAAGTTATTAGGACAGTAAAATATTTTGTTTTTTCCCCTACACGACATATATTCCATTATTAATTAATAGATGAAGATGTGAATAATTTATACAGTACTTGTTAGCATAAATAAATGTGAATAAAACAGGTTTATAAAAAATATTATAATCCTTTTGTTGATGTTGAAACAGCATGGCATTCCAAATGCACAAGATTGTAAAATCAACTGTTAAAGTCGTTAAATTCTATATTTTATGAATATTAAAATTACATGTTTTTTTTTATTATACAAAGTTTCACTTCTCATTCATTATTTTGTTTTATAAATGTATATCATAATTAGAATAACAAACTTGAAAACCACATTTAAGTGGAAAAATAGTTATGTAGCAAGTTATTCTCCCATTGGCTGGATGGCAGAAACAACAAAGACATCGACCTGTCACTTTCAGATTTGAATTTTGAATCCAGGAGTGGCATGACGATGACCTCTTTATTACTTCAGCCATATTGTAGAGTTAAGTTCAAGTCGTAGTTTTCACCTGTGGTTTGACCCGGATATATGCTGTACGACGGCTCTTATCACCCAACTACCTCTATTGTGAGTCCAGTCCTGGCCAAGCCCATGATGAGCATAAAAAAAGACCTTCTTCTCACAAGGCAGAAAAGTTAAAAATGTTTTCTCCATTGCTTCAGGAGTCAAGTTTTAATTCAGTTCAGATCTTGCAAGCTTAGTGTCATTTCTCATTTTTTGCATTATGGACTTACCATAATGGACAAAAATGAAGGCTGGCCAAGTCCAGGGTCTCACTTACGTAGGAATCTCATCAATATATGTGTATTGCTTCTAAAGATATTGGGTCGCTGGCCTCAAAAATGCTTAAAGCAGCAACAGATCTTATGCAAATAATTGACTATTTGTGCAATATCCACATTATTACAAAATTTAACAGGTAAAGTTAATTTGAAATCATCACGCTCATGGCAAATTATTTATCTTCCATCTGAATTATACCTTCTATGGTTCAAACTATACAAGTATGATTCGTTAAGAAGTCTGTATTATGTTTTTCATTCCCCATCCTTTTCATATTTCTCTAGTCCTTGATCTATTCCCTGCATCCCACAGCATCCTTTACCTCTTCCCATCTTTTTTGGTCTGCTTCTAGATATTAATTTTCACATTTTAAAACATTTTATCAATTTATTATCAATTACATAGACAATACAAGCTGTTCGTATGAAAATAAGTTTCTCTTATGAGAAACTTAGTTTCAAATATTTGCAATTTCTTCAGAGTTTGAATGGTTTTGGCTACATACAGTATATTGACTATAGATAGCAGCTACTTTAACTCTTACACTCTCAGAGATCAGTTTTGATGTCAACAGTGTTTAAAGAGAGAGAAAAGAGTTTTATTACCTTGTTTATTAAAAACTTTTTATAAATATATGTTCGAAAGACTCTGTCTCCACTTCATTTCAAAGAATGTTTGTAAATTTCCTACATGTGTCATTAGAAGTTATCTGTGCCTCTGTTCTTGGCATCATCTTCCACATTGACAGAAATTGTCAAGTTCTTGATAACTGTTTTTAGTCTTCAACCATCCTAAGGTGGAGTTGAGAAACCTTCTCTTCTACAATACCCTCAAGCAAATTGTCACATGTGTCTAGAGTTTGAGGAAACTACATCACTTACATGTCCAACTTTCATCTTTTATTAACATATATCTAATGACTGAGTAAAAGATTTTAAAAACTTTAAATGATATCATTTATTTGGTTAATTAGTTAATGAAATAAACCAGGAAAAATTTTAAAGCCAAATTATTTAATAGATGGCATAAATTAGTTTCAAACTTCATCAATCATATCCTTGATTTTATCATTTTTCTTCATCTATATGATGGAACATTATCATTTCAGTCAGTTTCATGGTAATGAATAATAAATTAATTCATATTAAAGATTAAAACTATATAAAAGAATTATATTGTATAAGATTTGAACTGCAGGAAAAAAATGTGAGAACTTTTAAATGTGTATTAAATTTGATTAAAGTATTAATTAAATAAATTATTATTTCCTTAATAAGTAAATCAGATTAATTATTAAGAAAATAATTATTTATTTTCAAATATTTCTTGAAATCTTTAAAAAATTTCAAGAGAAAGCAGCAAAATTCTTACAAGATATTGATGATGATGGGTTGAATATGTGATTATCTGAATAATGATTTTTGGATAAGAAGAAACATCATATCTGCATATATAGTTTATTATTAAGTTGAATTATCTTTATTAAAAAGATGAGAAAAAAAGAGGAAAATATATTTTGCATATTAATTAAATTTATTTTTTAATTAATGTATGGATATTCATTAACTGGTAGTTCGCTACCTCTTTGATAATCTCTCAATTCTTTTAATATTACAAGATATTTAAATTTAATTATTTTATTGATTATTTTCTATAGTAAATTTGCTTATTTATTATTTTATGGGTTAAGTTATCAATCGTGTTAACATAGAATACATTTTTTTTTTTTTTAATATGGTGTGAATTGATGCTGAAGATTCACGGATGGAGATGTAATATATTCAAGAATATTTGGATATTGATTTTTAAGCAGTTCAAACACAAATGGTCAACATATTTCACATGATAAATGATGGTTATTGATAGATCCTGAATCAATTTAGAAGAATAAATAAATTTGAAATGATTTCTATAAAAATATTTTATAGATTATCCCTTAACATATGGAATTTTGAATAGGAAAAACTCAAAAATTCGATTTTATGTATTATTATAGCAAAATCTTTGTACATAAGCTAAACAACTGCATCTTAGGTCCCAGAGTTATGACCCTATAGCCCAGGGCCTCGCATAATTTGGTGGAGGGGAAGGAAGGGCCTTTAATTTGTTACCACAAGTCCTGGTTAAGGTGTATATTTTGTTTGAGGATAAACGTCATAATCCGATGTCATCTTTTTGCAAAAACGTGAAGGAATGTAATTAAAATTATATAGAAAATGAACTTTCCACTTTAAACAGTAAGAGAATTAATTAAAGAAACCTTAAACATCATTAAACGTGACCATAATAGGATATTCTTCCCTCCATCTCGTAGTATTTACTCATTTCAATTGTTTCTCGGATATCCTTGATATCCTAATTTAACCAACTTGGAAACATTACAGATAATTATTCCAAGAATTAGTATTTTCAGCCACTTTTAATTGCATTTCACCACTTTCCAGTTGTTAAATTTAGCCACAAAATTTCTTACTGTATACGAAAGATGGCACCACGATAATATCAAAAAGAATACAAACAAAAAAATATATATATATGGCATTTATAATCCAGATATCAATCAAACAAGATTAAAGCGGTTTAAAAAAAAGGATATTCTCTTGTAAAGAATCCAATCAACAAGCATCTGGACTCACCCCCTTAATATTACAGTAACATTATCCTGTGCTACCGACTTATCAAATTTGAAAAAATCCTGTAATGAGGTTCAGTAGTTGCCACGATATATATCTTAATTCTTTTTAAGCTAATTAATTATGTAAAGAAATCTGTTGTATGTGTGTGTACATAAATACTACTAAGAGTATTTTTATAGCCTTTAACAGCTTAAGTTAAAGACATAAGAGCAGTGTAACACTTCGAAAAAAGTGGTGTAAATGTCTCCAGTTAGGTTATTTATTTATTTATTACAATATTAGTTTCATTACTGTAATAGTTTATACGTTTCGTGTGCATTAAGGCTCCTATCTTAACCTATAAAAATCCTTGAGTTATGTGGTACTATAGTTAAAAAAAAAAAAAACCAACGAAAACTAAAGTGCATTCACTACTAATGTAACAATTATTATTACTCTAGTAGACGTTGATGTAATTCTTTTTTTATTACCAATTCTATAGAAATAATTAAAGCATAAATATCATTAAGAAGGAGTTTTATTACTATAATAGTACAAGACCTGTTTTAAACGGAAGGAAGGAAGCACCAGGTTAGGTTGATTTAGAGTCTACAGAGCCACATCTGTATTCTCAATTGAACTAATTGTGGTGTCTTTGACATTGTCAACTTGTCTAGAGATATCACTAGGTTACAAATTAGTCTCCCCGTTTTTCCCCCTTTTAAAAAAAAATCTTTAGAAGGGGGATCAGGATGAATTCGGTCGGGCTTAGATCCAGTTTCTGATATTCGACATCCCCGAAAAAGGAGAGGGCTAAGGAATTAAAAAAAAAGAAAAAAAAATCAGAAGCGAGTCCTTGCAAAGTTTGTCACGTCAGCTTGTCAGTCAGTCGATTTATTTAAAAAGTTAGAATTTAATAAAACTAGGCCAAATGAAAGAGGACCTAAAATGTTTTATGAGGGATTAAATTTGATTTTAAGTGGGCCAAGAGCACGTTGATTAGTATTTTCTTTTTTAAAACTTTATTTTTTCGTCTTTGCTGTTGAACATTGATTGATTACGGTTTGAATTACCGAAAGACTTCAACTTTGGGACCTCTTATTAATCATATTCGAAGGAATAGTAACTTGTAACTTTGTTAATAATTACAATCGTATCGAGTTATCCCATAAATTACTATATTTATCGCGTAAACAAACCTCCTAATTTTTTAAGAAGGGCCACATTACATATATGACATCATTTGGTTAAAAAATAATCATCCACAGTGACATCAATCTGATAGAAGTTGCAATTTTATATGATATCATCTTCCAAATTAGTTACATCATCAACTTTAACCCCTTCAACAAACAATTTCAGCCATCATAATTTGAGAAAATTTATTTTTCTTCCTCTAAATGCCATTATAAAACATTCAAAAATCTGATGTCATCTTTCAAAATTGACGTTTATAATTCTTATTTAAAATTCTGTGACGTAATAATTAGCATTTAAATCATTTTTGAAGTAATAATCAACGTTTTAATGATCGACGTGACGTAATAATTAAAATTCGATTCTTTTTTTGACGTAATAATCAAATATCAACGTTCGACGAATGTGTTGTAATAATCAAAATTCGATCAGTTTCGACGTCATATGATATATTGTTATAGCTATTATTGCGTCAAAATCTGATACGTGACGTAACAATAAAAAGCATAAATTACGCAAAAATTGCGCGTAAAAGTTAAAATTCTTGTAATTTGACGTAATCGATGGTAATTCCAACTATTTTTATAACACTGTAGAGCTTTTATTTCGATTAAATTCCAAAATGATCGCCTATTTAGTTTTAAAATTGCCAGGAACGATGCCGTCACTTAACGGTAATTAAAGCATATAAACAAACACAGAACAGGTGATTGTCCGCTGACACAGGCCAAAGTGTAACCTGACCTCTTCCAACGACTACATAAACTAACTTTTCCTTCCCCTTGAACTCCATGACGTCATAATAATTCCGTCAAGTGGACGATGAAAAAAGTTCAGTACTCAAACAAAACACATAAACGAACCTTGTATTGAGTTATTTTTAAAAATTCCGTCTCCCTCGTCCTCTTGAGGCATTAAAGAATATGTCAAAAAATTCCTAAACACGTGATTTTTATGACAAGAAACGTAATACACCTCTCTACAGTGGTGTGATTTAAACATACACCAGCGTAAGTAACTTTGTTTTTTTTTAATTCGTAAAACATCTCTACGCATCACTTCTTTTTTTAACCTTTTACATACTCAACCGCCTACAATTATAAAGAGGTGAAAGTAAAAAATAAAAAAAATACACATGTATTTGGTGAAAAAAGGAGCCAAGTCTTTACATGTCCGTCCTTGGTCCCTGCTTACACTCGCATGGTCTTGTACACCCTTCCTTGGCGGTGTTTGTTTTAAAGCTAGCAAGCTACAGAACGGTTGGTGGCTTAGAGGAGTAGAAGACATGAACAGGTCCTGAGAAAAGTCTGCTTCACACTCCTCTCTGATCGCTTGACGAAATGGCTCTGTGCCTGATCATTTGGCTCTTCTCCTTTATCGTTTTTGTCTTCTCTGACCCCTTGACACCAGACATGTAAGTGCTTTGTTTTACTATTAATTTATTCTAATTTTTTATTTTTTTATTTTTTTATTTTTAAGAAAGTGATGAGTTAATTATTTTATTGTAAAAATACAATACTTTCACTTAACACCAGTGTAGAAAAATTTCGTGGTAAACTTTACACTTGGACCTGTCTTATTTCACTTTATTAAGAGTCACTTAGCTGCTTTTTTTTAAAAAAGAAAATTAAACTGTAAAATGTTTAAGTGTTGGTAAATTTAAGTAAAATTAGTATTATAAACACAGATAAAGTTTATAAGAGGAAGCGTGATTAGTAAATTATTGTTAAAAATTAATTTATAATTAATTATGTTTTAAAAGTTTATCTTATTTAGTCCATTAAAAATTAATTAAATTTAAAAATATATATATTTTACAATTGTATTTTTATACGAATTTTATGCAATTTTTTTTTAAATCACGCGCAAAATTTATGCAAATTAGTTTCATAAAAATCCCCTTTATTTTTTATTTGTAAATTTTGAATTATTAAATTATTGAAATTTACGTATTAATAAAAATGTAAACGATTTATTTATTTATCTTTTATAACAATTAACTCATTCGTCACGTGAACGACTCGTTAATTGTGTAATTGAGTAATTTAAAACTCATTGATTACGTTTTGTAATGCGATTAATTAAAGTTGTTATCGATGAATTAGCATTAAGATTAATTGTAATTAAATGTAAAAGATTCATTAATATAACAAACGATCGTTGAAACCGATTAAAGTTCTATTACAGACAGACAAACCGGACGCCCCCTGTTGATAAGATACAATACTAATTATAGAAAAAATGTACAATAATGTAACTTTTTTTTGGTTTAAAGCTAAATAAAATGGCACAAAAAATATACTTTTGTGGAAGTTTCGCGTGTATAATACACGTGGGCATGTATTTTATTTATATTTAAAGTATAAATTTTTAAATTTGTGATATAAAAAATGATTTTTTTATGATTATTAAACTACACCAGTCTTCATAAAACAATGAGATCCCATTTTAGTAATGATTCCAAACGGAGTTCTTATTCTAGGAACTATGCCAGTTTATAGTGTGATTGACCTTGTTCATATTCTATTTTAATCAATTGGACATTAAAATAAATAAATTTTTATAATTTTATTGCCAAAACCAAATTACCAGATTAGAGACTATAATTGTACTATCAATAGTACAGGTATACCTCGACTTACATCGTTTTGAGTTACGTCGTTCCCGATTATACGTCGTTTGTCAAAAAAGTATATGGAAAAATAAAAATCAAGTTTAAGTCATTTTATTCGACTTTACGTCTGTCTGCCACAAATATTGAAGTCGTAATATCACTAGAAAA